GCCAGGGCAGCTCCTCCTGTGTTTTTAGCTCAACTTCCTGATCCCAGGGACACATGTCCAGCCTTGACAATGGGGCTGTGCCTGGGGCCCGGGACCACTCCGGAGGGTAGTTGGGAGCATGGACAGCTGGCTCTGCTGGGGCCCTTCAGACTGCCCTCCCCAGGATTCCCCCAATCTGGGCACCACCCCAAGGGACCCAGGCACTGCTCCCAGGCCATCAGCCCTCCTGTCCCCACACTGGGCCCATCTCACAATTCAGAATGGAGGCCCCCAGTCCTGGTCCCCACTGGAGGGTCCTGATGGCCACCAGGGACCCTGCCCCCAGCCCAGCAGGCCCAGGGCAATGAAGGGGTCACCTCAGGTGGGACAGGTGGCCGAGCTGGGCTCGGATGCAGTGCCTCCTGAGGCTGCTGGCCCCTGTGAAGCTCCGCTATTCCCAGGCCCCATCAGAGAGCACCGCGGTGGGTCTGCGGGCTCTGACCTGCTCCCTGCGCCCGGCACAGGTTCCGCCTCTGGCCCTGCTGGTGTCCGGCTCATCCTGGTGCTCGCCCTGACAGTGGTCCTGGAGCTGACGTGAAGGCTCGGCCCGGCCCCCGCCACTCCACCCGGCACGGACGCCTCTGCGATCGCTTTTCATTTCTTTTCTAAACTATTTCCAGTCTTGTTCTTAGTCTCTTTCTGTCTGTGTCTTGGCTTCTTCAGTCGGTTTGATTAAAACAAACGGAACGATTTTCCCCACCTGGGTCTGTGGCTCTGTGTTCTTCATTCGTTCTATCATGGCAATGGGTGCCTCCTGGCCTCCAGCATCGGGACAGGCACAGGGTGGAGGGAGGTGACGAAGGAGATGGAGCATGTGCCTTCCTGGATGAGGGGCGGAGATGCAGCTCAGTCTCGTGCACATCCTAACAGCCAGGAGTGGGGAGTAGCCAGAGACGTTCAGGAAATTAAAGGTTCCTCAAGGCCAGGTGTAATGGTCAGCTGTTGCCACAATAATGCTGCATAACAAACCGACCCACGTCTCAGTGGCCTGCGACAACAAGCATTTATGATTATGTTCCTATTCAGGACGAAGTGGTAAAGCTGATCCAGTCTGGGCTCAGTGGGCCCCTCTGCTTCAGGTGATGAGGAGAATATTCTCAATTCCTGTTGTTCCTAAATTCCTGGCTAGCCTCCAGGCTGTTGGGCTCAGGTCTCCTGCAAGGGTGTTTGCTCTGGGCTAAAGGTGCAGTGGCTATCTGACATTTGGCCATTCAATGGTAGATCACCAAAGCTAGAGAAAAAAACAAACCATGCAGCCACCATGAAAGCATCTGCCTGTCATGTCCATGACCACTCCTTTAGCCAAAGTAAGTCACGTGGCCAAGGCAAACGTCAATCAATCAAGGTCACATGTAAGTCAGGGGCAGAGGTTCCGGAACTTTCTAATCGATCACCAGAAGAGTCCCCATGCCACTCAGTGATTAGCTCTGGGGGAAGAATGCGTCATTGGCAGGGCTGGGTTGGCCTCTCGGAGCTGTGGCCCAGACTTGAGAGTCACCAAGGAGAACCCATGAAACACTGTACTAATGTCTGGAAGGGAGAGGCTAGCCTGCAGGAACACATCAACCCCAGAGTCTTACTGCATCCGCACAAGGAAAAGTTATCTGTGGCTATGAAAAGCCCAAGGCAGATTGGACAGTCCTCTTTCACCTATGGCTACACCAGCTGGAACATGTGGCTCCTAGAATCTTCTCCAGGCCAGAGGAGAAGGGGGCTACAGGGTCAGTGCAGTGTGCAGAATAACGGTTCCCCAAAAAGATATCCACATCTTAATCCCCAGAATCTGTGAGCATGTTACCTTACATGGCAAAATGATGTGATTCATTTCAGGGTTTTGAGGTGGGGAGATTGCTCTGGGTCATCCGATTGAGCCCAGTGTCATCACAAGGGGCCTTATAAGACGGCAGAGAGAAGGCACGAGAAGGGGAACTGTGACAGCAGAAGCAACAGATTGACAGGGTGGTGCGAGGAGGGGGCTGCGAGCCAGGGCAGGCCGGCCGCCTCTAGAAGCTGACAGAGGCAGGGAATGAGGCTCCCCTGGAGCCGCCAGGAGGAGCTGGCCCTGCCAACACCTTGCTCCACAGTCACCTCCAGGACTCCAAGGAAATACATTTGCATTGTTTTCAGCCACTGAGCTTGTGGTAATTCCTTCCAGCAGCAATAGGAAACTCATAGGATATTTTTAAGTGCCAAGCCGAGTGGTGACATAGATCACCTCTGCCTGCATCCCATGATCAGAGTAGTCACATGGCCCCAACCTAGCTGCAAAGGAGGCTGGAAAATGCAGTCTTCCTGTGTACCGGGTGAGCACAGTGCATCGGGTCTGCCAAGGAGAGGCACAGGCCGGAGGAGCCAGAGGAGCCAGAGGAGGGGGTGCTGGGAGGAAGGCCCTCACCTGCCTCTGCTGCCTCAGAGGGCCCTGGGCCTCTCCGTTCCCAGCCAGGACATACATGACCTCACTGAGCCCTCTGTGCCTCTCCCAGTCCATGCAGATGTCCCGGGGAATTGGGGCCCCTGCCTACAGAGCCTCCAAGGCCCCGACATACCAGGCTGGGAGTTGAGCAGTGGCTCTGTCCTCTTGTTGCCATCACTGCCCCTTGGCCTCTGCCCAAGGCAGGACCTGGATGATCCATTCAATTAACTTCCACCTTGATGCCCACATCTCTAACTCCATAACTTTTCCCCGGAATTCCAGACTCGATGTCCAACTTCCCACTGCTTTCCCCTCTCCCATTGCATTTCCAACTTCATGTGGCTGAAACCCAACTTCTGATTTTCCCCTTGCAAAACATGGTGTTTCCCCTTTTCAGGAAATGGTGCCACCATCAACCCAGCTGACCAGGTCCAACATTTAGCTGTTCTCTTCTATTCATCTCTTTCCTTCACCTCTTCACAGCCAATCAAATAGCTTGCTGACTTTGCTCTCAAAGCTCATCCTGAATTCACTGGCTTCTTTCCTTGTCCACTGCCACCACCCTACACAAACCTACCTGTCACCTGGAAACTGCCTCCGCCTCCTGTTTGGTCTTCAGATTGCCTTCTTGCCCCGCCCCCACCCCCAATAATCTGGTCCCCCACAGCGGCCAAAGAGATCCTTCTCAACATAAGGCATCCTACGGTGCCAACTCAGAACCCTCCAATGGTTTCCCACCTGCCATAGATTCAGTGTCTGTGTTCCCCCCAAATCCACACGCTGAAACCTAACCCCCAATGTCATGATATTAGAAAATGCGGAGGTCACGGGGGTGGAGCCCTCATGAATGTGATTAGTGCCCTTATAAAAGAGGCCCCAGAGAGCTCCCTCGCCCCTTCCACCACGTGAGGACACAGCAAGAAGTTGGCAACCTGAAACCTGGGAGAACGGGACCATGCTGGTACCCGGATCTGGGACTTCCTGCCTCCAGAACTATGAGAAATAAATTCCTGTTGTTTTGAAGCCACCAAGTCTGTGGCATTTTGGTATAGCAGCCCAACCAACTAAGACACAGAAATAAATCCAAACCCCTTATAAGTCCTACAAAGCCTGCTGGCTTTGTCTTGTTCACACTGTCCTGGTTCGTTCGTGTTCTTCTCTCTCTCTCTCTCTCTCTCTCTCTCTCCCCCCCTGCCCCCTTCATTCACACACACCTTCCCATTCCTCAGACTCTTCCTGCCTCAGGACCTTTGCTCTGCCTGTTTCCACTGCTTAGCATTCTCTATTCTCTTCCCCTTGGCTTTTGCAGGGCTGACTCCTCCTTTCCATTTATGTATCAGCTTAACTATCCCCTCCTCAGAGGGACCTGCCTGACCACCACGCCCCTCTCCCCATCACGCCATCCTAATGCCATTCTCTGCAGAGAACACGTCACTAGCAGATGCTTTTCCTGCTTACTTATTTATTGCCAGTCTCTCCCTTCCCCTTGGCCAGCATGTCAGCCTGTGAGTGTGGGGACCCCATCTGCATCCTCCACTTTTGCATCCTCGGCGCTTAGGCCAGGACCTGGCACGTGGCAGGTGCTCACCATTTATTAAATGAATGAGTGAGCGAGTGGGCACCTCCCGAGGACATGCTAAGGGCCAGGCTCTGTGCCAGGCATCCAGGCTGCAGGGGTGAGTAGGAGGTGCGCTCCACCCTGAAGGAGCTCACAGCCCAGTGAGGGGAGGACATTTACCCCACCGACCGAGGAACTGCAAACCGCCACGGGCGCTCAGCACAGAGCCTCCCCAGTGCTCTAGGGATCCATTCCTCTGCGGTAGGGGTGCAACGAGGGGGTCAGAGGAGGCCACGGAGAACACGTGACATGTGAGCAGAACTTTGAAAGAAAACGGAGTCTGACCAGGCAGAGGAGGGAGGAGAATATTCTAGACAGAGAGAACACCAGCAAAAGCCTAGAGGCCGGACAATTTAGTATACATTTAGGGGGAAGACAAGTTGTTACATCAGTGCTTCTGACAGCACATAAATTTACTCAACAAATATTTATTAACTACTCACCATGGGCCACGCTTGCAGTGTGATGGATGCTGCACATTAAGTAGGAACACTGTCATATGGCTCTTGTATCAGTTATCTATTGCCACAATGGCGCTGTATAATGAACATCCCCAAAACGGAGTCGCTTAAAACAACAGCTATTTATTATTTCTCATTAGGTTATGGTCAGCAGCCAATCCGGGCCAGGTTTGGCCTATGGAGGCTGGGCTCCCCCCCTACCTCCCCTCCCCACCCCCTCCACCGCCCCCCACCCCCCATTGCATCTAAGTCAGCTGCTGAGCCAGCTGGGGTCTGGCTGGTCCACAGCGGCCTTTGCTGAGGTGGGTCAGCCCAGCCCCATCCAGTCTCTCGTCCTCCAGCAGATGAGCCTGGTGAAGACAGAGGGCCAGGGAGAGCTGGAGCACGCACTCCCTCGTGGCCTCAGGGAACCTGCAATCCGTCACCTCCGCTGCATTGTTTCGGCCAGCCCAGCGCAAGTCATAAGTTCAGCCCAGATTCGAGGGGTGAAGAAATAGATGGCGCTTTTTGATGAGAATAGCTTGGAAACTCACATGGCATAATGTGTGGATACAGCGGGAGGCAGAATTAGGGCCCATTTTTTGCAATCTACCTGGTACAGCAGCCCCACATTCTGAACTTGATGTTCTAGGTTTCCCACCCTCCATGTTCACATACCCTCATTTAAACGGAGAAGCCCAATGACTCCTCACAGCAATTTCTCTTCTAAAAATATAACAAATCAATGACCCATTCATTCGATGAATATTTGCCTATCCACATTTCGCAAGTTGATAGCAACACTGACGCAGATGATTTTCAAGCCTTGAAGGCTCTCAGATATGCACCAGTATAAACACCCAGGCCAGATCAGTATGCGACAACCACACAGCACCGTTGGCCACCTCAACCTACTTCCTGCTTCCCCTGCTCTGTCTCACGTGAGCCTCCTGCCCCCTCTGCTGCCCACCAGCAATCCTACCTAAGCCTCTTTCACACAAGGATTTTGACTGTTTTCTGGAAGGAATAAAAAAGGATTTGTTCCCTCTCTTTGCCTTAATAGAGGG